CATCGCATAGTGCGGAGCACTAATAACGATAACTTTTCGATTGTTTTTTATGTACTGTTCAAACTGAATTAATTCCTAAGAAAAAGCTTAAATTAAGATAATTGTAATTTTAATTAAGATTTCCTTTTTTAGAATAAATTATTTACTTAATACACACTCCAGATCGGTAAAACAAAAGAGATTAGTCTGTGCTAGCATTGAGCTTAATGATGTATAAATTAAATTTTAATCAATAGAAAACCCTTTATATATGGTCAAAATAAAATGACATTATCGTTGACTGGCGATTTGTTATTATTTGTTACAGTCCGTAAACAATCTATTTTTATATGTAGCTCACTACCTGTTTGAAAATCTGAGAAGGGGGTTAAAAATTAAACAGATTAAAAGACTGTTATTTAATCTATGATTATTTGGGCCATTTGCAGCAAATTTATAAAAATTTATTAAGTGCACTTTACATTTATTAAGGCATTAAATTATTTACTCATTTTTTGCATCTACAATTACCTTAAATTTACACTTAAAAATATATTTTACAAATATATTAATTTTGATGGTTTTTACGGTTTGTTAGTTCTAAGTTCATTTTTGATTATTTATCAAACACAATCTCTTCATTCATTTTTAAGAGTATTTTATGACTTAAAAAACGTATTCAGACGAATATTTTTAAGCTGCTAATTTAAATTTTTCTCCGCTAAAAGCCAAAACCCAGAAAAATAAAACATATTTTTTAAGCAAATCTATTTATTTTTAATAATTATATTAAAATACATATTTGGGCCACACTTCCTAAACGTTTTTCTTAAACTAAGAAAATTGTGAGTTATTATTAAATTTTTAATCATTTGTATTTCAAATTTCGCTAAGCTTTAAATAACTTTTGTAGGACTTTTTCGTATGCAAATCGCCTCATATTGAGTGTACTTCAACATGTGCCGGGTTACTTGCCACACCAGAGCACCTGATGAAGTACAATAGACATGGGAGACAGTTGATACACATGGGATCTGTTTCGAGGACTCGACTGGAAATGAAGATATATGTCTGGCACCACGCGCGCTACTTCAGGTACCTGACTGTATATGAAAAAACCAGCCCCGGTCACTGATTAGCGCGCAAGGTAGGAGACTTTTCAGCTGGGGAACATCATATATACTGGAGCTGGAGTTGAAGATGTAGATATAAAACCAAGCCCAGTCAGGTTTTTTTTCCTTTTTTTTGTTTTGCGGTTCCCGAGACAGATGTTTGGCCGCCTGGCAACAAAACTGCAGCAAATGGCGACCCCCTTTGTTTTGGGTTGGGTGAGGGGTACGAGAGATGACCTTGCCTGGTGTCTTTTAGGTCCCCGCTTTAGGGTTAACGATCTCTGTGAGCTTTTGTAGTTGTCCGCGCTGATGATGACGCCATGCGAATTTTATGCAATAACAATGCCAAAATTAGTCATATGTGAGTGGAGAACTGGAACCAGATGCGTTTGTTGTATCTAGAGAACAATTTAAGGGGAACTATTCGGTTTTTTGAAACTAAAACTTTTTAGATATTGAAATTGATATTTTTCCTTTCACATTATGGTTTTTACCAACTTTTGCAAAGGGAGCTGTTATTTCATTTTCCTGGCCCCTCTTCGGGGACGCCTGTCTCGGACTGGAACATGGAGTGCTAATGACCACATAGGACGTGACGTCATCTGGCGGCGAATTATTACATTTCATTCAGCAAATTCTCTTTTTGCTGGCGGTTTTCGTCTGACAGACCCTTGATATTCTATATTTGAAACGCTGTAAAGAGACAAGCAAAAAGAAATGAATAGCCGAAGCAGAAGACGCAAAAAATGAGCATAAAAATGTGCGAGAAGAGAAGTTGCAAATGAAAAAAAGAACCGGCGTTTTAAGCTCTCTCGCTCTCTCTGTTACTAACCGCAGCTACGTACGTGCGTGATCACTCACACACACTCTGGCACACACATATGGCTGAGACACACACGTGCCTTCTATACATTCGCGAATTCTCCTTTATCTTTGCCTGTGTGGGTATATACATTTTTGCAAAAGTATTTTTTAACTACCTTTTCGGTTGTCTTGTTTTTTTTACAGCACGCTTCATAAACCTGCGATCGCTAACAGCTTTGGACTGTGAATAATGGGCAAATATCTGCGCTACAGCCGTAAATTTATGTATATATATTTGCGTATATATGTGCAGTATATAAATGAGCAGCCATTGCTTGGGTGGGGCATTCCTAACCTCAAAAATTGTCTTCGTTAGTTAATGTGTGTGAGTCTCTGTCTGTCTGGCTGTGTGTAGGTGTCTCTTCTCTCTTTTTCTGCAGCAAAAATTGCAGCACATGCTTTTTTTCTAGCCAAGCCACCGATTTTTTGTTGTTGCCCTTAACCCTGAGAAAAAAATGGAAATCCCCTGCTCAATATTCGATCACTTTATCACACACACTACCATAAAATGAGCTTTGCCTGGGTTAAAAAATATCTAAAATTAATATTTGAGCGACACAAAATGTTCCCCACCACACACAAAAAAAAGTACGAATGTATGGGTTAGAATGGAAATATGTGAAATCATGTGGTCGCCATTTGCGTCATTTTTTCTCGTAGTGTAGCGAAAAAAGCTGCCTTGTGATATCAAAATGCTAAAAATAAACCTCGCTCTTTTTCTGGCCGTCTCTTTGTGTTCTTCGTATGTTCTTTTATTTCCTTTTGGTAGAAAAACCCAGAAGCTCCAGAAACCACGTTGATGTATCGCCTTCTCTTTCGCTCGAATTTCACAATATGTTTCAGTTCCGTTCAGCGTTTTTTTTGCGAGTGACAACTTCCGTTGCATTTTTCCTTTGCTTTGCTCACACACACACGCACAAACACACTCACACACGCGCGCGGTAACTAAATTTTCAGTGAATATTATTTCTTAAACGCCTTCGCTCTCTTTTCCTCCCACGTTGTTGTCTCCCATTTGGTGCGAAACGAACGACTGTGCCAAAGCCCAGAAATTGTCTGGCCTTTTATTTTATACGGCTATGGCCCGGCCGACTCGATTGCGATTTTCCTTGCCCACAGAGATAAACCGAAAGTCGGCGAAAGGCCAAAGAGGCGAAAAGAGTGGCGAACCGCGTTAGCCGGCTGTTGCCGATCAAATGCTCAGAGTCTCCGGCAAATCAAGAGCCAAATGCGCGAATTTTATTCGCAGACACCGCCGACGTCGACGCCGCCAGACGCAGCGACTGCGGCAGAAGCGCTCTCTTTCGCCCCTGCTGTTGCCGTTTCTCTCGCACAGTGGCGCCGCCACCGAAATGAGGGGGTGGCGCAAAAAAGGGGGACGTCGCTTCGTCGAGACACTGCTGCTGCTGCTTCCTGCTTCCTCTTCCTCACCCACATGCACATGCACTCACACAGACAGAATATGCAAGTGCATATGGGGGTACAGTGGACACTAGATACAGTGAAAGTTAAAACATTTAAAAAGGCTAAAACGGATCAGTGTTAAACAAATTTTACCTGCAGGTAAAATTTTAAATTTTGGAAATCATGATCTGAATTCAATTCAACAAATTTAAATAATAATGGTATTTATAAACCATTTTTAGGCCATTGAAAAGAAATTATGGCATACTTTTTGGTGTCTTAAGAAACATGCGTGACATTTCGCCAGATAGTTTTTTAATTTCATGCAAGGGAAATTTTAAAGTGTTTGTTTGAGCTTCCAAGTTTGGATTAACACAAGCTAGGGCAGATTTGTTATTATTGAGCAAGTGTACTCTTTATTTAAAATCTACTGTATATACATTTGGCAGCCTTCATTCGAGTTCCTTTGTTATAAAGCTGCACCACCATTAAACAGACTGCAACATAAAGCTCTGCACAGTGGGCAGTTGAAGCACGGAAGGAACATAATATGAACACGATTTTTTTTATAATCAGTAAATACATCATTTATTAGTGGGGATATCTGGAAAACACTAATAAACAAAAAGTTAATGTTATCAGAAATTGCCCTATTTATCATTATTAGTTTTGATTTGAAAGTAAGTAAAAGTGAGATGTCTGGAAATCACTGATAAATTAAAGGTTAATGTTATTAAAATATGTTTGGGATTTTCCGAAAGTAAGTAAAATTCTGTAGATGTACATACATATTTAAAATGTTTTACTGCAAAGATAGGCTTTATTGAGGTGACACATAAAATGAGGCCATCAAAATCCTTTCTGACTAAATTTTGATTTGGTGTTTAATCTTTTGTTTTTACTTTTATCTTTACCTTCTTGGAATTATTGTGATACAATTTTATAATAAAAAGACTCTCGCAATGTTTTTATTAACAGCAATGAATTTGTCATAGGTTCGTACTAACTACTAGTAAGTTTGGGATTCCTAGTCAGGAAATTACGTTTCTTTTTTTGTTTTTTTTAGAATGATTTAAATTGATTCATACTTTCCCAGAAATGTAAGTCTTCAATATCTTTTTGTTTTTGGGAATTGTGGTAAGAATTGGAGAAATAGGGTATTCGTTTTTTACTGTAAAACTTTTTTTTTTTATTCCATCAGTGGCATTTTCCGAAATTCATCAGGATGTGTGTGCTGAACTCGTTATTTGGGATCCAAAATGTTTATTATTAAGCTAACAATTAATTGCCCACTGTGCTCTCTTCTGCCTTTTGGGGCCGCTCTCTTTCTCCGGTGCTCTCTGTCGCTCTGCAACGCTGCTGCCCCCGTTGCATATGTATTCTTTTTTGCTGCACCCCGCCACCCCGCGCCCAATCGACTCCTGTCTGGTGTGCCCAACTCTCACCATGCCTCTTCCCTGCCCCTCTCACCTGTCTCTCTGGGCGAAACGACAATGTCAATGCGCTCGTTTGTATGTGTATTTTGCCAAGTTGCCACACACACACCCTCTCCACCTTGACTCACCTCTCTTCCTTCTTGGGGTCTTCGGTTTCTCCATGATTCATCTTAATCTCAAGGCAAGTCTTTGATCGTAAACCAAGTATATTTTTCTTATCTTTTTATGTTTTTTTTTGAGAATTTCACTATGTTGCTTAAGTCACTAATTATTACAATCCTTAACTACCAACAAGTACAGACACAGACACGTACAAATACTATAGGCTGGCCTTAAAATCTACAAACGAACAATAAAAAATTGAGTAAGGCTCCCTAAAACTCAATCCTCAAATCGTTGAAAACTTGTATATACCCATGTATTATGGCATTAAACATGTTTTTGCAATAATTACTTTACATTAAGGCATATATCGGCTGAGATAAATGCAAATAATGATGATGATTTTACTACGGTAACATGTTTGCTGATTCTCGTAGTCAGCTCACCAAAATACAGGGCTACCAAGAATCACGTGGGTTGGAGGTTTGGCTACTTGGAAGACTCCACCCAAAAATAAAATCTCTGAAATCAGGAATTCGGGGCCAAGGATTCGTCATCGTCATCGGCGTCCGCAAAGCATGCTCTGGCATGCTTCCAACCACGTGGCTATGGAGATGCACTCGGTTGGACATTAATAAAAGGTTGCCATCTTAAGCAGGAGTCGTCGATCTTGGGGAAGGATCCTCTTCGTTTTACCCTCTCCTCGTACTCATCCAGGACATCCTACGTATCAGTAAAGATCAAAATTAGATCAGGAATACCCTAAAAGATCACAGAACTTACCTGCTTTTTGAGAACTATGTGCTTTCCCTTCCAGTATTTCATCATGCCTAAAGCCTGAAGGGTGCTCACAATGTCATATGAATAAATCGCCATTTCCTAATGATAAAAATAAAAAGTTAGTTATTAATTAAACTAGTGTTAGCGTTAAATAATAAATATTTAACCCAGTTGGTTATATGTTTTAAAAACGCAAAATAAGCATGGATTTATATAAAACAATTAAATATTTTTATTACAACTTACTTTTGTATCTATTTAACCAGATATCAAATAACGCATTGAACTCACCTGCGAAACATCCTTGATGGCGAGGGTATTTCCCGACCTATTGCATAGGTAGTCCAAAAGTACATCCTTCCAGTACGAGCGGTACGAGATAAGGCCGAGATCGGATAACGGTTTCTCCGGGGAACCGATTTTTCCCTCCACTCGGGTCAGCAGATAGCCTGGAAGTAAGGCGGAAAAGGTAAGGATGCGGGTTAAAAATAGACCCCAAGAAGTATGCTACAGATAAAAGAGGCGAATCGGAGTTTTTTGAGTTCCGGCGTATTATTTATGGTGACCAACTTTGGTCCCGCCCCCTGCATGGCCTGTGTGTGTTTGTGGATGTTTAAGTGTGTGCGTGTTGTGTCTAGACAGGATTCCGCAAAGTATTCAAGGAGTTCGCGAGGGGAGAGGGGGTCCACATTTAAACAACGTTCTGGCGTACATTCAACCCAACGTCACAGTGTCACCCCAAAAGAACCCACCCCAAAAAATTATATTCTGGATTCTAGAGCCGTCTGGCAGTTACAATTCCCGTCTCTAGATAACAACAACCACACTGAAAGGAAGCTGAAATAGCAACAACAATAAGTGCAAGCCAAGTAAATTGACGAGGACGAGAGAGCGAGGACACAACACGAAATCCACTGAGGTAGGCTCGGAAAAAACGGTGGGCCAAAAGGAGCAGCGAAAGAGAGGAGCAAAGCCAGAGGAGCACCATGGACGTAGGCAGAATATGTTATCGATATTACGTTATTGGAGGGAGCTTAAAATGCAAATAAAGAGGTAAATCTAACATTTTTTTAGCAATCCAATTAGATCTGTTGCTAGACTTATAAAAATTAATTTTAAACACAAACTGTCACCAACAGATAAACCGAGATATTGCAAATTAGTTATTTTACATTGTGAACACTTTACAATATATTGGTTTTATACAAAACGTCGAATACACATTATTATATTTATCTTTATTTTTTTGTTAAAGAGAATTATTTTACCCTTCTAGTTGCACCCATGTCACCAGCTGTGGAGCAACGAAACGTAGGAGAGCCAGGCTCACTCAATGGCAGACGGCAGACACAGCTGAGGAGGCAAAAAGGAGAGAGTGGGAATAATAGAAGAAGAAAGGGGCAGGGGGAAGACTCCTGCTGACAGACTGGACGAGCGCAGGGTTGAACGCACACAAGCAAAGGCAAACGCAAAGTTTGGCTTTTTGCACGGCTGTGTACAGTGCAACATGAAGCAATGATTGAGTGCATACATTTTAGAAATACTTATTTCAATTTAAATAAAATTACATGTTAAAAAATTGACAAATTATATTTCAAGAAAATTTTTTGTTAAGCTTTAGTCTGTTTAATTAGTAGGCAATCTTCGACACTGACAATTTTTTGGCTTTAATTGAATTAAATTATATTATTCTTGGTTTTTAGATATATCAGTAGTAATTATACACGTTAATAGTAAGCAAAAGGGTAAATTGTATTCGTTGGAAACAGGAAGAAGGAAGCGTGTCCGACCCTATTAAGTATATATATATTCTTGATCATAATCAATAGCCGACTCGATTTAGTCTTGACCGTCCGGCCGTCCATATGAACGCCGAGATCTCGGAAACTTCAAGAGTCAGAAATCAAAAAGCCTTTAAGACACCTCGTAGATGCCAGTAAAAGTATAGGCAATTTTTTTTATATAAATTACTCATACGGCACATACGAATTGTCACAAAAAACTGAGAGAAAGATCTCAGTTCTAATCTTAAAACTTAAAACTTAAACTTATTGATCTCTTGCATATAATAGTCGAAATATTAAGAGCAACAGAAACATTATTTAAAAATAAAACAAAATCTACGCCACCTGACAACAGTACGTATGAGTGATAAACTTTTAAGCCAATGAACCCTTAACATATTATTTTTTCAAATAAAAGGGTTATACCATAAAAATGGGTAAGGCTTTATCAAATAGTAAGATCACTTGGATGAAGTTATGCAGCCACCTAAGCCAGATTGTACCCGACCCAGTGTGCGCACTGTTTTATGCCTTGCATGGGAACCCCCGTCCTGATCCTGCTGCGACTTCTGGCCGCAAGAGGGCGTTTTCGGGTGGCACTTTGATTTCTTTGTGCCGCACTTCGTCTCGCTCCTTTCCCTCTTCCTCTTTCTCACTGCGATAAATCCAGGAGCGGCGAGACGGGAAAGCGACCGAAAAAGAGGAGTGTGAGTGGAAACGTCGAGACGACTTTATCGATCCATTTTGATTCGCACTTTTGCCTTCTCGCTCGCACTCGCCGCTGACGCAGCACAATTGTTGTTGCATAGCCACAGGCGCTGCAAACGAACAGTAATGAGTTAAAGAATGAAAATTACGCTAAAATGTGCAAAAGAGAACGGCGACTGCGACTTTAACTCACATTAGCAAGGCTCTAATTATTATTTCTATGCATTTATTCTTTCTTTTTTATGCAGTGAGTAATAAGCAGCGAGAGAGCGAAACAAAGAGAGAGTAACCGTTACTCGCTCTTTTGTTAGCCAAAGAGGACGACGCCCTTTCATTGTGACCTGTCCTGACCTTTGTTGTCTGCCGCCAACAGTTGTTGTTTTTGTTGCTCTTATGGTGTTGTTGTGTCTGCTAAATTTTATCTACAGTTTAACTTCCATAAGTCGGACATCTAGAGTCAAATCAGGTTATTCAGTAAATCTGCGGAGCTTAAAAAAATATTCCTATAACTTATTTATTTGAGGAACACAAACAATAATTCAAAAAAGTGAAATTAATTTTTTAAAAGTTGAAACATGGCTAATTAATATTTAAATTTATTCGTAGTCATGTACCGCTTTTAGTTTGATTTTTTGATGTTCTAGATTAATTATTGCAAGGCGTTAAAATACAAAGTTGCACCTAGCAATAGTAACTTAAGAAGTTCAAGAATAATACAAAATAATATTAAAAAAATAATTTTAAAAAGTTAAAGGTCTAGCTAAAGTTTTAGTTAAAGAAACACAACTGTATGTGTTTTTGTCGGAATTTCGCATTTGCGGGACCCCAAAAGTTAAAAGCAAAAAACTTTAAGCGGCACGTTTCGTGTATTTTTGGCAACTTGGGTGAATTTTGTTTGTGGGTTTTTAGAAAGTTTCATTAATTAATGCAGTAGGTGGCAACCCTTGTGCACCCCTTTTAAGTTTGGCCCCCTCATTTGCATTTTGCGTGCTGCATTTATTACACCTGGACATAAATGCTCTATGGCCATCCCGCTCTCACACACATGGTTAGGATTGTTTGAGCTCTGGAAAGGCTGGTGGGTTAAGTTAACCCCTGTCTGTCTGCAAGTGTTCCTTCAACCTGCCGTGTGCAAAATAACCAATTCCAGTTAATGATGACGAAAATGATTTGAACGCCGGCTTGTTCGCTCATACATGTAGCAAAATAATTTTCAACTAAAAAATGGGTTGAAGAATAGGTTTTAAAAATTATTTGGCGATGTTTACGACGGTATTAAAGAAAAGTTTGCAAATTCAGGAATATATTAAACATTAAAGTGCTTTAGGACTAAATAAATAAAAAGAGCGGCATATCACCAAAACTAATAATGGTTAGAGAATTCCAAATGTATACGTGGTTGTTAAAATTAACTAACTAATTTTGTAATAAATTTACAATCAATAGTTGTCAACCCAAGTAACATTATACATTTTAGTCGGTTAATCTGTTTTAATGGCTATGCTCAGCAATTTAAGGAGATATTTTTTTTCGAAACCGATTCATAATTTTGTCTTTCACATTATTGGTTGCATTTTTTTTAATAGAATATAAAAAGATTTATAATTCATCTTGAATTTCATCCGGAAATAAAAATAAGTTCTAGCGATGATGGCGTTTAATGCTATAGTCCAAAAGTCAATAACAGAACAAAAGTCTAGACTTTAAACTAACTCTTATTAACGTGCTGTAATAAACTAGATTTTCCTAAGATAGATTAGATTAATCAATTATTTTCTGTGCAGCTCGCTTGCTCTCTCAGTAGCTCTCTCTTTCTGACCATTACTCTTTTTGCCGGCCGGCACTTGGATTTGTGTCTTTGTGTGTGTGTGTCTGTGTAAGGTCAATGTCGTTTCGCTCGCTCTTTCGTTCGTTCATTACCGCCCAAGCTCCCCTTTTACCCGCACCCATGACATTGCATGTATTGACATTACATAGACATCGCCTTTGTCGACGTCGCTGCCGCCGACGACGCCACTGCGAATGTAAATGTATGACTCAAGACACTCTTTGTCTTTCCCCCTCTCCACCTGACCACTTCTTTTTAAAATAATTTTTTACTTGGCTACCTTTTTTTTCGGATTTAGTCTGTGTTTTTTTATTGTCTTGTCTGTGGGCTTGGATTAATTTTAAGCAATTTTCGTTGTAGCCACTAAAAATTACTTATGCACCTGTGTGTGTCTACGTTTAATTGATGCAGAAATTGCATGTTCTGCACTTGAAGAAGAAGTGGAGGAAAAACTGCAATTGGAAAGCTGAGCCAAAGTCTCTTTCATGTTTGGTTTTTCTCATGCAATGATGATTATATTCCACACACACCTGGACACACACACACACATACCTATGACTCAACGGAAGAAGAAGAGGAACCAAGCTTCAATAAAGCCTGGAAATGTTTGTGGCCAATATACTTTTCACTAACAAGCCTCATTTAAGTCTAATTTCGTTGGAATCCCAGTCACTTTTTATGATCACCTACATACATAAATAAGTGTTCCAGTTGAAGAAGAATTCCTCGATAAAGGCCAATCCAATCAGTGGAAAATAAATAACCCTTTTGATTGGTTCAATAAAACAATAAGCTTCTTAAAAATGCTTTGGTAATTATGATAAGCAAGGCAATACATTTTTGTGAATATTAATTGTTGAGATGCATTTCATTGCAATTGCTTCATCTGTATCACAATATGTCATAAAAAAGATTTCAATAAGAATACCATATAATGGTAATTGGTGATTGATTAATATTTTTGGAAAACTTTAATATTCTGAGCTGCCAGATATTTTTTTATGGTTTTGAAAACAATTTTTGAAGTGTCAAAGTCTGTTGATATTCGGAATGAAGGACTTCCAGGCTCAAAATATATTGTTTTTATATTTTATTTTCCATTAATTTCTGTGGCTTCCCGATAATTTTCATTTCAGTTTAGAACAGTACAAAAATATTTTTTAAGGTTTTTTTGATCTTTACAAACTATTAATAATTTGGAGATCTACCAGATTGATTTTTCATCGAAGAAAAGTGCATAGTTTTCAGTTAAAAATCATTCAGTGAAATTATTAATAATAAGCCCCAACTGAATAAATTTTTGTTTAAAATTATATAAGGTGCTTATATTAACTTACTGAAATCGATTAGTAATCTTCCGTAACCTTTTCTCTGATATGGCGGCAATGTCAAAATACACGAAACATTGTAAAACGAATTCTTCTCTTGCAAAAAGGGAATATGCTGCAAAGATAAAAGAAAAAAGTTTAAAATGATTAAACATTGCAAAATAAGCCCAGATTATTAATCTTTAGTCACTTAAGAACTCCGCTAATCCAGGTAAAAGTAACCAAAGGTTATGCTTACATATTATAAAAATTAAATCAATTACAAACATTCAAGAACAATGGCAGACTGAAAAAGTGTGGGAAAATCAGAAGAGGAGATGGGTGAAATCCCTAAAGGGTATAGGGAAAAATTGGAAGGTTGGGGGATCAGACAGACATTTTCCAGACAAAAGAAGAGGGGAAATGGGGCCTTGGCAAGTGGAAGAGATGATGGCAACATTCATCTGTCGCTTTTGGCTTTTTTCGGCAGTTCAATGACCAGCAAAATTAAATGAATCGATAGACAGCCAGCACAAGAGACACTCAGAGAGAGATGGGTGCAGCAGAAGGAAAGAGATGGCGAAAATAGCGAGAGAACTGTGCGTAAATATATAAACATACGCATATAGCTGCTGCAGGAACAGGACAAGTACTACCAACTGGGGGATCGGGATATATATGCAAGCCAGACCGGCTCGTACATGGATGTAGTATAGCCATGCCAAGCCCTCTCCTCTTCTCATGGTCATTGCCAAAAAAAAACAATACCATCCAGAACGCACGGAGCAAAAATATCACCGAATCAAAAATAGTAGCTTTCTTTAAAAAGGTAATGTTTAATGTTTTTCAAAAAATGCACAACCATAAGATTCGGAGAATTTCTGTTATCATAAATACATGATCTAAATACATGAAATAAAAACTTTTCTTAATTTTCGTTTAAATTCTTGGTTGAAGTCTTTTGGCTTATGTCTATGAGCACCACTGTAAGTAAGAACTCATAAAATTTAACAACTGGAAATAATGTTTTCTTTTTTACTTTAGAGATTTTAGAACCATATCTTTAAATGTCTTAAAGTAGGCATCAAATTAGCTAAATCTGCTTTATTGTATAAAATTCATAATGAACCTGGCATAACTAAAACTTTTCTGTTAAAACTACATAAAGTTACAAATAAGTATACCACATTTTAATAAAATTGTATAAAGAAATTTCTATTGTTCCTGATCTACTCCCATTAAAATTATGTTGTAAAAATTTTAAAACCCAAAAAAAGTGTAGAAAAATTTCCATTTTTTATTTCCCGTGTGTGGGATCTGGAATCTGGCAACATTTCGGAAATTCATTTATGTACACTGCGGGTTTTTCATTTTGATTTTCCCTTTGTAGTACGCCTGGTTTTTGTTTTCTGAGGTCTGTTTTTTTTTTGCTCGTTTTTCTTTTGTCTGCCTTGATGTCTGGGAACGCAACCACATAGCAGAGGAGAAGTCCCCGTTTCCCAGTTTGATCCCCCGGTAACCCCCAGATCCCCCACACCGGATTCTACTTGGCCCGGGCAACCGCTGTTTGTGGAGCAGGCGCAGACGCAGACGCAGAAATTCCCGGACCCGGCCCAAAGGTGCACGACCTCAATCGTGTCCGACGCACAGCCCACAGCATCCGAACATCGGAGCAGCGTGCCCTGACTACCAGTCCGCCTCCCTCCTCCAATCCTCGATGTCTGGCTGCTGTCTGGACCCCGTTTTCGAGTCGTCGAGTTGGAGGTTAACTGCGGCACAAAGGATTGCCGAAAATTATCACTGCCAAATAAAAAGGGGTTGGGGCCTTACTAGAGTTTACACGCAGCTTAGTTTACAAATGCATTTTCATGATTTCGGGAATAGTTTTAGGCCATGAATGTTTATGCAAATCGGACAACAGCATTTCTTTTGATTGATTGAGTTGTTTTTAAACTAATTTTTGGTTTGTCTCATCGACTTACATTTAAACAAAGATTCAAAAAGTTTAAAAAAACTATAATAATGGTTAGGAAATTATAATTGCTATTGGGTTTGTGCCTATAAATAACAGAAATTAAATTAAATTTGGCAAATAGTACAAATGAAATTAAAAAATAAATAAATTGAAAATCAAAACAAAAAAAGAACGACTAGACTAATGAAATGCTTCTCCTATTTGTAAGTGTGGATTGGAAATGGCTTTTTAAATTAAAAAAATTTGAAGAACTGATTTTTTAATGGAATTATAACTAACATTTCGAATTTCCGTTTGGATATCCTCTTTTGTAAATATGTATTTACAAAATTATTCGGGCTTAGGGAGTAACGAAATAATGAATGTCCTTAGCATGAACGTAGTAAATATATGTAAACTTGTAGTATGTGTAGAAACTCCAAAATTCTGACTGAGTCGGGACGCTGCGCCAGCGTTTCGAGTGGTCACAAAAGGAGTTGCAAGGAGGGGCAACATCAGCAGGAGAATCGGGAACAGGAGCAGGAGCAGCTGCAGCATGAGCCAACGACATGCGCAATTTGTAACACAAACCCAGTCTCTGCCAGCGCCCAAAAACTTTCTGCATTCTGCAGTAAAACTGCAAAACGGGAGGTGGGATCCCAAAACCCGTGAATGTATCCCCGGACCCGTATATTCCGTATATTCAGTGGGAGGTCAAGAAACCGTGGCTGCTTTTTAAAGCCAGGGGAAATGACTCTCTTTCGTTTTCTCTCCCTATTTCTCTCTGTCTGCTTATTTACCCGAAAACGTTGACAAAAAAATTACAAAAAAAAAAGGGAAAAATCATCTGGTTTTTGGTGGGCATGGTCAAGGCAGAGCGACTGTCTGGATCTGAATACAACCATATAGTCTGTTTTGCCGTACATATGTACCGTACATGGGCTGTGGCTGCCACTCGTAGTCTGGGATGCTGGCTTCTATATTCCTTGCATCTCTATTCCGTCTCCAGACATAAAGGAATCATAAAACTGGAAAATGTTATTATTCAATTTTATCCTGGGGAATAACCATAAAAGTTCGGAGGCGTGACTATCCAAATTATAAGCAATTAGGAATCGAAATCATTAGAATAGAATAAAATTTCCGGAATTTTATTGCAGTTAAGAAACCACATAAAATTCCTAAATGTTCGTAATTATTAAATTAGTCCTCTCTGATTATTAAAGTCGTTAAATCCCTTAATCCAATTTAGTAAAAAACTTAACAAATTGATTGTATTCAGATAAAAAACAGACATTAACATTTATGTTACATAAATTGAAACTGAAGTGATTAAATAGTGATTTTACACAACATTATGTTGTGTTATTACACAATTGTCAATGTTATTTAAATTAAATAATTAAGCTTATTTTAAGTTTACTAAGCGCTTGTTGATAAACAGACATCGCAAAATTTATATTATCTTATTAATGAAATAATCAATTAAACATTTCTTATTAAAACAGCGCAGTAATATATTTAAAACCCAATAAGTACAATTAAATCAGACTATTGCAATGAGTAAATACATCTATAAATTATATATCCAACACAAACCTTTTCGTATAATAATTATAATAATATAATTAATATAAGCGAAATAATGACAGCTATCTCCTTACTTACCTTGCTAAAATAACCGACAATATGACATCCATCCACATCCGCCAGCGTCATGATGTAAAAAAGGAAGGGCTCCACATCGTAGTAAAGCGTTTTGTGATCCAGGAAGAACTTGGCCAGCAAACACAGATGTTGACAATATTGCTTGTAACGTTTCCCGTCCACCTGCCACACCTGTAGTTTGCCCTTGCGGTATATCTCATCGCCCGGCGGATGTCGCCAGACGCACTTCTCGGCGTGCCGCTTGATCCCCGTCTCCGATTTTTGATAACGCAGACAGAACTCGCAGATATACATTTTGGGCAGGCGGGCAGCATCGTCCGGATACGGTGACTGGTACCACACCTTCATCTTGTACTTTCCCATGCTGATATATCTGTGGTTTTTAAAAGTTGTAAGTAGATTTTAAATATTTTGTTATGTTAAAATAAACATACTTGATTCCCTTTCCCACAGGCAGGTCCTTGAGTTCGTCTTCTATCCTCTCGGAGGCCTGAGCTTGCGCTTCCCGGAACAATTGTAAATCGTAGTCGGGCACCAGGCCAGACAGATTCGGTTCACGGTCTTCGTCCGTGACGTCTTTTTCTAGCTTAACCTGAGGAATCAAAGATAGCAAGTTAGTAAGGAATTGCTTATATTTTTAAAAATTACAATTGTTTTAGAAATTCATTAAATCCTCAAGTCAACTTAAACCTTTGTAGCCTTAAATGAGTTTCTTATTTTACAAAATTTTTCGTTAAATAAAATGGTTGTTAGTTACTGTCACTAAAACAATTTAAAACTAAAATCTTACCTTAGAGTCAAGGAAATTGTTATTAGCCGGCCTAAAGTTGGCCCTGGACTCACGAATCTTGGCCAGAAATTCGCGTTGTTCGGGCGAGAGGGTCTTGAGATTGGTGTGCTGGTTACCCGGCGCCGTCACAATATTCACGGGCATCTTAAGCCGCTGTTCATTGCGCAGTTTTCTTTCATTGGCCCGCTCTTTGCACTCGGAGGCGGACATATTGTGGTAAATAGGACACGCGTCCGGCAAAAAATGCCTGTCTAAATGGCCACTGAGATGTCCGGATGAGTCGCACCCCTCGATAGGACACTTCTTCTCCGTTTGTGTTATGGGTGACACAGGTCGTGATTTAATCGAGCTTAGGACTCCACTGCTAATTCCAATGGATTCTCTTTTCACCTTGCTTTTTGTGGCGTTCAAATTCGACGGTACTGGCTTTTTGGCGGGACTTTTGGAGATCGGAATTTTATCGTCGTCTAAGTCTCCATCGGACTCGGAATCTGTGTCCTGTTTGGGCTGCTGTTTGGTCCTTCGCATGCTAAGCGATCGCGTGAGTTTCCTCATGGGATTAGCCTTGTCTTTTCGCTCCTCTTCACTGTCGGAGTTTTGGATTTTTGTCGCTCCAACCCTTTTGCCTGGAAAATAAAGAGTAGTTAAGTTTAAAAACATAAGAGAATTTACTTATTTAACCTTAAGTATTGCCTCTCCAAATCCTAAAATAAAATATTAAATTTGATTCTTATGACATAAAACATATGATCATATTTATAACACAAAGTAGAAAACACAAATAAAAAAAATTTTAGCATTTAAATAGTAAGCAAACCAATTTTGTTATCACTTGTTTTTAGTGATTACTATTAACTTTTACGTATTTCATCATGCTGTGTAATAAACGGGAAATGGAATTACAAAATAATAAAATAGTTACTTGGGCAGATCGTTCCTAAGATATAGAATAACATTGACATTCTGAAATTCCATAAAACGTCCCTTTCTTGGCAAAACTACATACTTCAGTTTTTAGTCAGAACAGTGCTGATACATCTAATTCTTAAAGCAACAGTTTTGTATAATATCTGCAGACCTTGTTTACCTTTGACTCCTCCTTTCACTGGTTGCGAACTGTAGGAATTGCTGGAATCAGTGCCCTCTGAGTCGCTACCTGAGCTGGAATCATCGCCTGAGTTGGAGCCACTTTCGGAGCCTGAACTTCCGTCACTGCTGATCACCGGTCCTACGCCGTTTTTCTTGGCCGGCGGAAGTTTTCCCCTAATTTGTTTTGGCCTCACCGTGCTAGCCATTTTCAGGGGAACCTTGCGGCCGTTCTTAACGATTTTCATAGAGTCATCCGTACTGTTGGACGAGGAGGATAGTGAGGGCCGTTTGCCCTCGCCATTCTCCAGGGATCGATTGTTGTTTGTCGATCGCTGGGGTGGATTGCTGGGTTTGTTGGCTGGATTGCTGGGTGGTTTGTTTCCGGATGCAGGGGGCTTTCTTTTGGCCGCCGAAGCAGCTGCAGCCGCTGTGACTGTCGAACTGCCCAGGGAGCGGGCATTCTTCTTGGCCGGTGGCGCCGAGTCGCCATCATCATCCTCGTCGTCGTCGCTGGAGAGTCTACTTTTCGCCGGGTTGGTCACTTTTCTGCTGGAGGATGCTGCATTTGCCTTGGACTTTTCCTCCGCGGCCGGGGGAGCTGGTTTTCTTCTCAGTGCATTCCCGGAATTCGTTTGTTGTTGCGTTTGCGTCTGGGGTTTCGCCGTGGAATTCGCGGATGGCTTTTCCTCCGGCGTCGCACTGCTGGAATCCGTGTCCGAACTGCTGCCCGTCTCTGAACAGCTGGTGGATCCGCTGGTGGAGGAGCTCCCTGATTCGGAGCTGCTGCTGCCGGACTCCAAGGCCATTTTTTGAGCGCACAAAAAGTTGATCAATTTTCGTACACAAAAATGTCTTGTTTTTTTATTGTTTTGATTGGAGTGACCAGAGGTGGGTTATAATAGGAAACCACGAAAATCGGCGGGAGTAATCGATAGTTATACCGTTACCCTTCGGCTAGAGATGGGCAGCATTTTTATTTACCAAAGGTAAGTAAAAGTAAGTAAAATCGTAATTTATTTAATTTAATTTATAACTTTTTAATTACAGATGCTTGATTTAAAAATAATATTTGATATAAAAGATATTTAATAATTCAATTTATTAATCTTAGAATCTCTAAATAAACCATTATTCTAAATAAACTAATAAAAAAAGATTGAAAATACAGTTAAATAATTTTCAGACATATATTATTAAATTTCAATATTTACTAATTGGAACGATTATTTTTCATTTAATTTATTTTTATTTTGCTCATCGCTAATTGAATCCCGGCTCCCATCTCTAGCAAACGACGCCAAAACAAAAAAGTGTTTTTTGCACTTTGGAAAGATATTTCTCTGTTTAGCTATGTACAACGTGGACTGCATTCCCATCAAGGACATCAAACCGGGCCTGAAAAACATCAATGTGATCTTTATCGTCCTGGAGGTGGGCGTGGCCACCGTGACGAAAGAAAACCGTGAGGTGCGGAATTTTAAGGTAAGTCAAATATTTTATTTTGCACGTGCAAACAAACAATTTTTGAATTAAATTGTATGTTTTTAGGTTGGTGATCCGACGGCCTGCATAAATGTCTCAATTTGGGACGAACCGGGAAAGCTAATAGCTCCCGGTGACATTGTCAGACTGACTAAGGGGTACGCCTCCATTTGGCGGCACTGCTTGACCCTGTATTCCGGCAAGAACGGCGAGGTCTGTAAGATCGGTGAATTCTGCATGATCTTCAACGAGGCAGTAAACATGAGTGAGCCCAAGCGGGCGGAGCAGCCGGCAGTGGCCAATCCCGGCGGCTTGGTGACCGCTGCGCCCTCGGGACTTCCTGCTGGGGTTGGTGCCCAAGGTCTGCCGGCGAAGGGAGGTGCTGCTGGAATCCCACAAACTGCTGTGTCCACCGCACCAGGCACTTCCGCTTCTCAGAGCCCCGTGACCAGTGCTTCTGCTCCTGCACCCAGCAGTGCTCCACAGACGACGGCGAAACAGGGCACTCGAGGGGGACGCGGCGGCGGAGGACGAGGTGGCCTCAAGGGAGACAGGCGGTAAAAAACTGAATTCATGGATTAAGATATGGAACTAAGCGAACAAGTATCAAACTCTAACATTAATGTATAGCTTAAACAGATTTGTTTACACATCAACTTATGTCGGAATCAGAGTTGGTGTGTAATTTTAAAATTTTTCCAATCCAATTTAGCTATACATTTTTAGAAGTTTTTATGTATTAACTGCCACAGAATTTGTTTTTAAGTTTAAATGTATTTTGAAATTAACATTGTTTTAAACACCCTTTTTTCTGGGCATACTTTAAACAAATCTGTTGGAAAAAGGTTAATGTTGTTAATAAATATTTCAGTTTCAAAACATTTGAGTCATCAACCTGTCCCGAAAAAAACAAAATTTATTTTATATCGAAAAATTTTGGAACAAGAAATTGATACTAGGAGAAGAAGATTAAACAAGACATTTTCTACTTTCCAAACAAACCACTTGTGTCACAAATTGAAAACATTGAAGTATTTAAAACTTATTTTAAACATTAAAAAACATTCAAAGATTTTTTTTTTAAATATTTAAAATGTCGAACTTAGATTAAAAATTCAGGGACAACATATTTTTTACAAGAAGAAAAAAAACCATTTTATAGAAATTTTACAAATAAAACCCTTAAAAATGTACCGTGCTCGGACCAATATAATTGAACCCATGCTAATGTTATGAAAAATGTTTTATTTTGCAAAATTTAAAGACACAAAATTGGTTTCGAGAGAGATTGCCGAGCAAGTCAATGAATACATCATTTCTATAACTCAAACGGACCAAATCTTCTCCTTTAGGTGTAACTATGAGTGTGTTTAATGTGAGTGTGCGTGGAATTTAGCTTAAGCTTAATATCCTTTGGCGTTGCGCTTAGGCCTTCTTCTTCTTCTCGTAGTAGGCCTGCACGGCTTTCAGGAGATATCCAACTTCCTCGACGGTCTTGATCTGGTAGTTGGCATAGGTCTTCAGCGTGGGCAGCTCGGAGACGCGGAAGGTCTTGCCGATACCGTGCAGCACCTTGATGGCATCCTCATCGGTGGTATCGTCACCCACATAGACGATCTTCAGGTTCTTGGCCCAGTCAGCGTCGAACTGCTTCTCCAGGATCATCTTGGCGCCCTCACCTGAAAATTTTAATAAAAACGTATTTATTAAAAATAAATCTTTAAATTGTAGCATTGGTTGGACATTTATTATTTATCACCTTAAAATATAATGATTTACAAATTATATGACACGAAGTGAAACTCATTAGTTTGATTTATTTAGTGACGCAGTAAAAACATGACTATTTTTAACCCATTACCCATGTGGTAAAACAAAAATATTGTTTTACTAGGTACTTTCGTGCAAATGCTTCAAATTATTTGAGGCAATGAATAATATATAGCTTTAGGAAATCATTTTGACTAATAAAATGTCTATTGGCAGTGGCGGATCCAGAGACGATTCTTGGGGGGGGAAATTGAATGAGAATATTTGAACAGAGAATATTTTTCTAGCAAACAAGTGAAATTTTCAGGTTCTGCGGTTCCAAGGGGGGGGAAATTTACCTAATTTCCCCCCGTGGATCCGCCACTGCTATTGGTTTGATAATAATTTTGATTATTTTTAATTAACGATTCTCAAGTTTGGAAACGATTACTTTCAATGAGGTAACCATTTATAGATTTCCAATTAAATATACCTAATTCAAAAGGTAAAATGTTAAAATAATGTTTATTTCTAGATAATTGCAACCTGTGGTTAAAGAATTCTCGATTTCTTGTGGAAGCCATGTGGAATTTATAGAAACAACTATGCACTGCTGGAAATCATCCAAAATCGCTCAATAAACAAGCGAAAACAATATTTTTTTAAATGTCTAGAATTCTTCTCGGCACACATTAGATCATATAAATCGCATGCAGCACCAAGAAACAGAGGCGAATTTTTCCTCCTCTTCTCGGAATTATTTTTAGGCGTCTACGTGGGCGGATCTCCTCTAGTTTTCGTTTCGTAATTTGGTTTGGCCAAGTAAGTGAGTGTTTGAATAGATGAAATCGAATCATTTGACCGACCGCAGTAAAAATCAGTACATATTGTGCATTTATCAAATAAATAGTACATTAATCCACCTCCTCCTATTATTTTAATTATAATGCTTGCCTCTTCAGTTCACAGCATTTAACGCCACATTTTTGTTTAATTGGTGACGCAGTCTATACACTGATTTTTTCCCTCCTTTCCCATATTGCATTTTTCCTATAATTTTCAGACGGCACCAACAATTCTTCTTCTCTTTTGTATGCGCCTGTCGTGACTTCAATTTTTCACAAAAATGGTTCATAACCAAATTTTTGAATTTTTGTCATTTTTTTTCTTTTTTGCAATCATTTTTTTCTGGCCCCTATAAATTTATTGCCTTTGGAGGCGTACACCATCATAATTAATTTTTGATTTTCACGCATTTCAAAACATGAAAATCTTTTAAAATATATTCCATGTATTTTGTCGCCACGGCTCATTGGCCTGAGCGACAATTCTGATGGGAATGGGTTGGATGTCTTTTAGAGGACAGAGGCGACAAGTGGCTTCCATAAATCTCTTCAAGAGGGGTACAAATTTTTTATAGATAATTTTTTTTCGGGAATTTGGAATATGTAGAGATATTTATGGTTTATTTGCTGCGATTAATGCGGATCAAAGACTAAAGATAAAAAAATTTTTAATAATGAAATTCCAAATGTTCTTAGATTCACGAAAAATCTAAAAATAATATTAAAACATGATTTATATCAATTGATGGTATTGATAAAAGTTTCTGATCATTAATTTAAGGGGTTATACCTAAAGCAGCCTATCTATCTATAATTATAGGAACTAAAAAAACAACATTTTAACTATATTCTCAATCAAAATTGAATTTATGTATAAGTCATCTGTTTGCCCTTTCTAAAAGCGTATATCTATTAAATCACGCATCGTTAGTCAAAAACGTCATCAAATTAAATTGGTTTCGCTTCATTTTGGCTTCATTCATCTTTAGAAAGCTAAAATTACAAACACCACCGCCAGGCTGAAAAATATTTATTTTTCAAGTGGAACAGAAAACTTTCCTCAAATATTGTGACTCGTACCAAAAACAAGAGATGAGACATTTTGAAAACGAAAGCAAAATCTTGTGTCTATGAAAAATTACAAAGATTTGTTAATTTATCATAAGGAATCGGGCGAGTGACTGACTATATATAAGACGGCAAGTATATATAGTTTTAGGCGCGCTTTTAACATCAGTTGGCTGCGGGATGTTTTGTCTACCGACACATTTTTTATATGCGCCTCATTGTATATATATTCTGTGAGACGTTTTAATTTTGTCTGATATTTGTTTGTGAAATTTTTCCTAGAATATATTTTTTTGTGGAAGACGCCCACGTTAGGTTCCCATTGGGGTATAGAGAAAATAGAAAATTTTAGCAATAATTAAATCATCGAACCGTCGAGTCAAAAATCGAATTGTTTCGAGCAGGTGCCGAAGTGCGGAAAGCTAAAAGGAATGCCATGGGGACATATTGCAAATGGATGGCAACAGTTGGCAAATTGTTTAACGATGACGGGTGTATTAATAGCCCCTTTGGAGGATCGAATCGAATTGAATCGGATCGGATCGAACCGGGTCGCTGCCAACTAACCTTTGTCCCAGTTGACGCGGGGCTTGCCCTCCAAAGCGTAGGGGGTCTCGATCAGCTGGAATCCATGGGCCTGGATCAAACCCTTGGCCTCGGCGATCAGCTTGGCCTTCAGCTTGTCGGTGACGCCTTTGTAGTGATAGGTCACGGAGATCTTCTTGTCCTCCACCCAGGCACCGGAGAGCACCACCTAAGATATGGACATTACATTTTAGTAAATCAAGTTTGTTTTATTGTATAAAAGAGATGTTATGATATTTAAAAACAAAGAATGCGGTAAAAACTAAAAAACTAAAAGATTATGTTACAATAAATTTTAAATATATATTGACAGCTTTTGAATTTATTTTTCAATAGATTTTCTTAGAATCTACCACAGGATACTGTAAACATTTAATTTCAGTCATAATTTAGGTATTAAAAAAACAATTTTTGAAAAATCCCCAACATCTTTTAAATATTTTATAACATATTGCCAAGTCTAAGGTAATTTTAAATGATTAATATTCATTAATTTAAATAGATAATTTACTATGTTTACCAACAGTTTTCTACCAAGTAAACTAATATTTATAGAGTATTGATTCATTATCCACTGATTCAGTAATTTTCAAATATAATATTTTATGAGTTGTACTCAGGAAAGAAAGCATATTGTATTCCTAAGTACTTAATAATTATTTTTGGCGTTAAGTTGCTCAAGGAATTTGATACATTTTAAAGTCACTACTTTCAATATTTTGGGCCTGAAATTAAGCTGTTTTTAACTGGATATTGTATTTTTAAATTTAAATTTATTTTTTCCCTTTTTCTTTTATTTTATTTTTAATATGCTTTAATATTTGCACTTTAAAACAATTATAGATCACTTTGCTTACCTTTTCCTTTAGCTCGGCCACCAACTTGTTGTGCTTCTCGAGCAGCTCCTCGGGCATCTCGATCTTGAACTTCTTGCCGGAAGGATATTCCACTTCCAGGCCGTGGTTGCCGGCATAGGTCACATTGGGGAACTTGAGGTGGTTCTTGATCTCGCTCAGTTCGCGGCCAGAGAAGACACACATGAAGATCTTCTCGTTGGCGGCCAGTTTCTTGATGTTAATCTCGGTATCCTTGGGCATCACGGAGAGCTCCTCGGTGAGTGGGGCCAGAGTGCCATCGTAATCCAGCAGCAGGACCACCTGATCCGTTTCGGGGTTAATGAATCTGTGGAGGGAATACCACACTATTAGATCCTCGAAGCTCCTGGCTGCTTGATCCTTTGAAACTCACCCCTCGAGGGCCTTCACGTAGTCCTCCTCCTTTTTCAACAGCGGGGCCTTCTTCTGCTCAGCCATTTTCTATATGTATATCTGTTTTTTGAGGTGTACGGTTTTATTTGTATCTAACGGATATTGCGCGCCGTGCTGGACGTTCCTCGACCGATTTAATACTAATGACCAGCTATCCTCAGCAGCCATATATCGCTTGCGATCTATAAGTATCCGCGATCCAATCTCGCTCTCTATATGCTTCTGCCTCTCTCTGAATATATGGTGGCAACTCTGGTCCCGTACGTTGGCCAAGTAATTCCCACAATATTTATGAGGCATATGCGCATAAAAAAACACATTCTATAATGGATCTTTGACTGTATTTGAAGAATATATATATATTTATAACGATGAAAAATACACACGGTGCTTATCTATATAGCCACACATTTCGGTTTTGTGCGAGGAGGTGGGTATATAGTGTGTATATATTTTGATGATGTCTTTGATGCACCTTTGTTTGAGGTTGTTTGTGTTTTGGAAGTGTTTTCCTTGTAAGATGACACACTTTGTGCTAATTATATTAGTCGGACGTTTTTTTTTTATTTTTTAAAAGATTTTAAGAATTTTATTTATCTGGGACTGAATTTTTTACCTATAGTTTTGTCAATACGGATTATTGTGAATTCAGACAAGCGGAAAATCCATTCCACTGGATTACTGATCTCTACAAAACATTTCCATTTAATGATTTATTTATTTTCTTTTGATCTACAAACGAAGAGCGATCGCCGATGGTGATGTGTTTTCTTTAAGATTAATGAAGAATTTTGTATCTTGAAATCAACACAAATATTTATTTGCCGGATTATCGAAGTTGGTTATACAAATTTGTCTTGAACTGAATCTTTAACTTAAAGACTGATATTTTTGCATGTCGTTTTCAAAAAATGTGCTGAATTCGAATATTTTTCTGAATAAGCCAATATTTATTTAAGTGTGTAATAACTAATCATATATGTATATTTATTTAATATCTGATACATTTATTTTCAGTATTGCTTATTTATTTACTTATTCATAAAAAATGATCTATTATTTGAATAAGTCAAAAAAGTTGTGTATTCTACGGAAAACATTTCATCTAAAAGAATCTATTACATCTAGGAAACATAAACATCAGCGATCCATTTTAGAAGATCCGTCATTACAGCCTGTGTTGGCAATCGGAAATCCGCAAAAGTCTGAATCTGAGGATCTGCAGAAATTCTAAATGAGCGGCCCAAGCCTCTAAGGACCTAAAAAATATAATAAAATATATAAAATGAAAGATTTAAAAAATATAATTATTTAAACTTACCCTCATGGCATCTTCATCGGTGGTGTCATCTCCAGCAAAGACAACACTCACTTCCTGCGACCAATTATCGCCGAATTTTTGCTTCAGGATATACAAGGCAGCCTCTCCTTTATTCCAATTTACTGGTGGCTTAGCTTCGATGGCTTCATGGGCCTGATTCGCTCTAAAACCATACTTTTTGCAAATCTCCGAAGCCAACTGCTTTTGCTGGTCCTTCAGTTCAACAGGAGTATCTCTGTAGTGATAGGTGAGCGAAACCTTCTTATCCTCCACCCAAGCTCCATTCCTTTCCACCTTTTCCTTCAGTTCCTGAACCATATCTGTGTAGTTTTTCTGAATCTCTTTGGGCAGTTCGTAATCATGTCTAGAGCCATCGGGATACTCAATTTCCAGTCCATGATTTCCTGCATAAGTAGTTCCATCGATGCTGACCTGTTTCTGGACATCTTTGAGACCTCGACCTGAGATCACAGCTAGGAATACTTTGGGATGCTTAGCTATCTTATGCAGTATGGCTTCCAGTTCCACAGGCATCTTTGTTTTGGCGGGATTATCCGCAATTGGAGCCAGGGTGCCATCGTAATCCAAGAGTACGGCAACCGGATATTCAGAACTTAGATAACTAGAAAAAGAATGAAATGTTTAATTAAACTAGTTAAAATGTTTATAATAACATAGTAGTCACATTTAACATTAAAAACAATAAATTAAAATCGTTTATAATAACATAGTAGTAACATTTAACATTAAAAACAATAAATTAAAATCGTGCATATGATAAAGTGGTTAAAAAATGAGAAAATAATTAATTTAGTTTGATTTATAACCTGTCGTTATACAAATGAAATAAATTAGCATTAGCACATTAGCAAAATGTTATATGTTATTTATGATATTTATTTGAAAATGAAATCGAACAAGAAAGAAGTTTAAGAACCAAAGAGTTTAGTTTTTGTTTTTAAAAATTTAGCAAGCAAAGAGTGAGTTAAGTAAGCAATGAGGGAATTAAATTTTAGCGTATAGCTTATCAGTAATTTGCTCATTACATGACACAGACAAGGTCACACTTCCGTTGTTGATGATTTAATTACTCCGACTTACCCGGGTAAATTCTCCTCGAAACCTTCCAGGTTATTAATAACAGGTGCCACTTGCTTCTCCGGCATTTTCTCAACTTCCTGATAACTTCTTGTCGCGTTTAGAAGAAAAGCGAAAATAAATACGACGGATTTCACTGAAATTGTTATGCGAAGAAGATTAGTTCCGTGTTTGGATTTGGCTTATCAGCGTGTTAATGTCTCAGTGTCTCAGTTTTAACTGGGAGATATTCTGGCTGAGACTTGCTTATAAGGCTGGCTGATAGTTCTCACTCTCTGGTGATAAGAAACCCAAATCGATGGGGAGTCTCTGCTCGAGATTCTCCCTCTCTTTTGGTAATTATCACCCAAGTACGATTAGTTCTGAAGATCAAGTCACCTTTATTCACCGAAGTGCTTGGTGTTGTTTGATTATCTATCGACACCTAACCCTGATGGATCTGCGAGGCGGTTTGACTTGCTGTTTCTCCGGCAGCTGCAGTTTTATAATGTTCCGTTGGTGGTGATTTCATCAAACATCGTCGCCGGGTTTTTGTGTTATAGAACAAAGGCAGTACGCCACCCACCGCACACCCCGATTTCCAGATCCAGTGCATCATGCGTTGCCTTCGTGTGCCGTGCGTGCATTGCCTCCTTCTCCCCCAGATCGTTAAGTTCACATTCGAGGGCAATAAAACAAAAACCGAAATTCATAAATTCCACCCACTACCTAGAGTCATCATCCGAATATGTCACCCATTTCTCTCCATTACTTGGTCCATCGCTAATTAGCAATGCGCGTGGAAATCTGGTTATGTCCTCGCGTTTGGCCTCGCCAAATCCCTTTGACGTGCCGATAAGCGTGTCCCTGTGGGAGGTAACCAAAGGACGATTCACCCGATTCACCCCACCCTTATCTAAACTACCCTATCCCCAACCCACACCACAATGTCAACGCGATTTCAGGGCACAAATATTTTTTACATGCAGCGGAATTGATTAGGCGACAACAGAGATCCTAAAAATAGTCACAGCATGGGATCGACACGCGAAGTAAATTGGAGTGGGGAAAATTGGGAGAAAATGGTTTATTTCTAATAGGGCTAACAAGTTGGGTACTTAGACACATTAAGAGGCTTACAATAATTAAGTGGTCGTTGTTTAGCACGTTTAATCAGATTTACCGAAAATATTCGTATTCAGAAAATTTAAGAATATAATTTTAATTCATAAATATTTTTTAAATGAAAATTATACGGAATAACATAAACAATAATTTTTTGTTATGCTTATAGGAAAAGTTTCAAAGATCATAATTATTCCAACTTAATCAATATTTATCCACTATCTTAACAAACTTTTATTATTGCATCTTCCATTGACTGGAAAATTTTCCATATAGATTATTATTATCTGAAACTCTGCTCTGTAAACATAACTAGACAAACGTAGGAAACTCCCTACCAAAGCGTCATTGGCAGGTGGCTAAAAAATTTTCTGGGTTAGTGCCACTTATAGAGGTTGACTGCGAAAGTGAATCACGCAGTCTGGGAACAGCAGCATGCTCCAAAAGCATGGTCAGACAAACACCGATACAGACCAGACCCAAAAATCCATACTTACGATATAAATACAGTTGAAACCCACTAACTCGAACGACAAACACATAAGACTGGAAGCTTTAAAGCTTTAAAAACAAAGTTACAATTTTTCATAAATTTAAAAATAAAAGTGGAAAATTTTTACAAATACGGAAATTGTCGTTAATGAATTTAGCTTTAGTCTGAACTTTGGATTTTAATAATATATATTTTGTTTATTTCTTTTATCTAGTTTAAAAATATTATTGTGAATTAATTCATTTTTGTAAACTGGTTTAAAATATTAAGTTTTATTATTATAATTATTATTTTCAACTTAATTAATGTTTGACTGTATTATTATCAGATAGCTAGGGAGACCAATCTAAAGAGGGTTTGAGAGCAGACGGCACGTTCATATATAAACATAAACAAATTTACTGGAGTTGGAGCCCGTTTAATCGAATCTTTCGATGGGCACGAGCGCAGCTGTCCGACGATATCTCGATGCTAATTTCAATCTAATTGAGAGACAACTAATTTTCACATTGTAAACAAGTGGCTGCGAAACCCCTTTTCTCTTTTTTTCCGAATAATCATACTTGGACTGTGAATAAACAGCATCCTCACCAGAATATCTTAATATATACTTTTCATTTTGCCACTCACTTTTTCAACGAATTGCACTGATTGACCTGTCACAAATATGAAATCGCATAATTTATCAACTGAAAAACTGTCAATTAATTTGAATAAATCAGAGCATTGGCTTTGATTCCGATGTTTTGGTAAATATTTTCGCAATTGAACGAATGAATCTTGTTTTCTTTCCTTCTAATTTTTTGTTTTGCTTGGCTAGAAAAGCTTTTGTAGAAGCTCTAAGATCAAGCTCGCTGACTAAGGTAAGAATGTGGGCAATTATTACGGGGTGGGGAAGATTTATTGACCGCCAGAAATAGATTTTTGAAACAGATGGCGAAGGGGTCAGTAATAAGAAATAGCTAAGAGACGGCACAGTGAGCTTCGGCATAACTAAAAACTAAAATTTAAAAAAATGGTTAATTTATGATTAAAAAGTAAAGTCTGAAAGATACTGTTTTAAGCTATTTATTTTTTAATTGGGGGAACTTTTGCAATATATTTCTTTAATTTAATAAAAAAAAGGAGAACATATTAAAAATATATTATTAAAACTTGAATAAATAAAAAAAATTTTTTGGGTATTTCATAACTTAAATTAAAATTGATTTTAAAATAATTTCTTACCCTACTTAATATTTAATTACATATTTTTATTTAAATATTAAACAAATGTAAAATGTGTTCAATACGAATACACAAGATGCTTTAGCTCATTTATCTTAGGTTTGGACCTTCTTCTGCCCATATGATTTTAAAGTAAATATGTTTATGATAAACACCAATTAACATAACTAAGACTCAGGCTGTCATCCTGCTAGAAAACAAGTCTCCCCTCCATTTTTATACCCTACGCAGTGAAGGGCACATTTCCGATCCTATAAATTCTTGATATTCGTCTGTTCGTTTCGTAGTATGTAAGTGGGAACGGATCAGATCCAAAAAAAAAGTTAAATAAAATCGGACTGGCTCGATGTTTTTAAGCATTTATAATATAATATTTAATTTTTTTAACAACTTCAAGGGTATATAAACTTCGGCTTGTCGAACTTAGCTTCCTTTCTTGTTAGCTTAAAGAGGATTTAAAAGAAGTAGGGGTTTTTGTTTTTAACACCTTTTCGTTTCTTATCCGTAAACAACAAGAATGCAAAGTGACAGAAGAGCATGACGTGCGGATGAGGTTGAAAGGTTGGGGTCCAATCCCCCGGGTTAGGGTGTAAGGTGGACATAAATCAACCGAAATTTTGGTGATGGGGGTCAAAGGGCAGGGGCCCAAGGCAGTCGAGCGTATGGCGTTAGCGTTGGCCAAAATTAATGTTTCAGCTCCGTTGGCAGAATCCAACCTGTTGCCGTTGTCAGAAGCAATTAGTGGACGTGCCACGAGGCGTTTCGATGTCAACAGGTTGCCACATTCCCTGTAAATGCACACCGATAATGGGCAGGGTTAGGGGATCTAAATAACGGTAAGGGTAAGGGGTGATATATTTATTGGGGGGTTTGGGAAAGGCGGTTTTAGCTCGTGCAAAACCGTGTAAACATGTGTGCGTGGGCGGTGTGTTTGGCCTAGCATTAGGACATGGCTTATAGCCAATTACATGGAAAATGTTTGCATACTTTCCTTCTTTTTTTTTTGTTTGTGTTTGTTTTGTTTTTGGGGTCTAATGTTAAGTGAAGGTCAGCTAAGCAGAAACAAAAATTCAATTGCCCCCCGTCGTGGGAGAATGTCTTTAATAGACACGTAGCAACAGGAATAGGAGTCCATTTGTCAGTCGTTGGCAACATTGTTGCCAAGTTCAATAGAAATTGAGTTTAAGGAAATAATTTTAGCTTCAATAGAAACATATTTAGACATTGGGCTGACTAAAATAATAGCTTTTGTATATATGATCGTTATGGTTTAAGAAATTGGGTAAAATACAATACAATGAGCTGTTTGTCGTATATTAAATTTCATATTCCATTTAAAATAAACAAATTAAAATGATGTGCTCATTTTAATTACGTTTAACACCCCTTGAGCAATTTATGATCAGTTCCGCGAACCTAAAGATACTGATACTGAACTGATTGCGGAATTACTGGCACTCCTTTTTTTATCTTTTTTTATTTCCCAGCAATTTGATATTATAAATGTCTTCGTAGTACAATATTTACTTAGCTCTTCAAATAGATAAGTAAATACTGCAGAATAATAAATTAAATATTCTTATAGTATCTTAAGAGGTAGGCCTTACTCATTTTTAAAATGTTTGCTAAAAACGATTCGTACAAGTTATTGTCTACTTTTCGGCGGTTACGTAGAGCACTTTAGCACTTACTTTTTAAATATATTTAAAACTTAATAGTTGATCGGGATTGTCTTGGAAATTCTAACGGATAGTATAAAACAACTCGTGTAAAATTTTTCTTCATTTATTTGCTCAAACGGGTATAAACTCACAAGTTAAATTTATTTGATTTTTTTTATTTAGTTTTTTTTTAACTATATGGTACATCTCAAAAGCATTTTTGTTGACAGGTAAGCATACCATCCAAAATATTTTTAATCAAACACTGCGTTTTTTAGCACTTAAAGCTTTATTTTGCTTTGCTAAACTTCGTCATCTGCTTGACAAATGAAATGCATAACATCATTTACACAAGATAAAACTATCATTCGGCCGTTAAATATGTAAGCGCAGTGTTGAGTGTTATCATTGTACTTGGGTTCATCTGAACGCCACCTCAAATATGGAGCTCGTTTTCCGGAGGCCAAGGATATAAACGTGCCCTGTCTATCCAGATCGTTGATGCCCAACCAGTAGTTTGACTTAGAAAGTTTGGCAGTGATGGCGTTATACTCCTGATCATTTTTGAAAGCTGCCAGATGGCCGCCAATCTCAATACAGATTTTTTCGGCAGTCCTCCAATTCACACTTAAATTGTGTTCAATGTAGAATAGCCTCGTGCCTATCCGTTCAAAATTCTGCAGCACGATATTTCTGTCCATTTTGGAGAGTGCTTTCTGCATTATTGTTAGTTGATTGTCCGTATTTTTCTGTGCAGCCGACACTTGATTTGATAGGGCTGTCTGATTGCCTTCTATCCTATTCAACCTCTCATCGAGGTCCTGCGGAATAAGCTTCTTCAAATTTTCCTCAAGGGATGTCTGCTGGTTTTCCAATTGAGTCTGTGTCGCATTCAACTGGCCTTTTATCTGATCTAATTGCACCAGGGCTTCATTTAATTTCACTTCGCAGATATTTGAGTCCTGCTTTTCCTTGGTAATGTGATCGATCACTGGTTGCAGTGCAGAAACGCAGAATGCACTACACTGATTCGAAGGGTCTGATAATAGACACACGTAGCGCCTTCCATCCTGTGCTCCTGTCAAGGATCCATGGAGATCCAGTGCAAGAAATATGCACAAAAAAAAGGTCGCAGACCTGAACATTCTGTATGACCGCTGAGGTTGAAACTTGATTGTATACTAATACTTTGTTCTTCGGCTGAGTTTTTAAAGACTCTGCCATATTGCTGATAAGCTTATTTGACATTTTTATTTATATTTTACCAAGAAATCTGATATGAGGTACGGCTTTATAATAATTTGAAGAGGTTATTCACCATTGTATAACAAATAATCCAAGTAATGTAGTATCGTTTTTATACCCATTATACAATCTTGTCTTTATGACCTAAACACATCTAAAAAGCGAATTAAATCAAGAAAGCATTATTAGTGGGTTATAAAATACAAAGTTCTGATAGTAAAAGTCATTGCCTACTTTTCGGCGATTAAATAGAAGAAGTGCCGTGGAGACAAAATAAACTAATTCTATTTTGTGCCTTTTACATATAAAAAAAACTTTATTTCCGATAACGTCTAAATATTTATAGACTTGCATATTTGTTTTTTATATAATAATGAATTGACTTTTCTGCAAATTAGTTTTTATCATAAAAAAAAACAACTCTGTGCGTAGAAAACACTTTATTTATGCAGACTATTAAAACTTGAGTTCAAATTTGTAATTATAAAATATTACAAGCATGGGTTTTAACTTTTTATATATTTTTAAATTATTTATTTATATATTATTCGATTTTTATTAAAGTCAACAAAAACTGACCTATATTGTTCCCGTATTTTCCAAGCAGCAACATGGCAAATGGCAACATTTTTGGGAGGTATCATAACAAGTTGCTGGGCATCATGTTTGCGATTTTATATTGCGCGCGCTTTCTCATTGTTTATAAACTTTTGTAGCTTCATTCAAGCAACGGCAGCGCAGCAGTCGAGTTGTTGTTTCGCGTCGTGAATGGTGTATGTGGATATAGTGCACCTACCTCCTCGACGAACTCTTTTGCATTTTACACATGTCCACATATTGCCAGCACTTTGACAACATCGCTGCGAAGGTGGAAAAGCGGCGGAAAAGTGGGTGGCGAACCGGACTCCGTGTGTTTTTATTATTGCCCTACAATGGCAACGCATCGGTCGGCATTGCGTCGCAATAAACCCACTTCGATGGCATCGGTAGCGGTACTAGTTGGATATATAAAAGCATAATTGCTGCGAGCCAGCAGCTCAATACGCAACAGGAAGCTGAAGTGTCAACAATTCGCCAAATTCAACTATAAAATAAAATGCATAAAACCATGGAAAATAAATAAAGAAATATAAGACCACAATTTAAAATTAGCCAACAATATTTAAATATTATTTTTTATAATAAAAAATAAATAAATATAATCAAAGAAAATAATTTATTTAAATTACATTTCTCATACAATGAAAAGACAAAAATAAAAATATCAAATAATTAACCATAACAAATAAATGTAGAACAAAATAACAATTAACCAAAATAAAAACTGTTAAAACAGAACAAATAAAAAGTACAAAATAGAAACAAACAACCATTTGCCAAAAATATTTGTATACAATAAATATTTACCTTCTTTTGATAACTGAATATTTAATAAATAGTTTTTTATCAGTGCGTACTAAATACTCATAAGAAAACCCGGACAGTTTTAAGAGATATAACAAGAAAGAAAATGGTTTCCTAAACAACCCAAAAAAATTAATTTTTGAGAAAAACAAATTCTTGTTTCATCAAACGGTGCGTATACTTAATTATTGTTACAACTAAATTAAAATGCCTAATTTATGGCAACTAAGTGAAGAAAACTTTGTAGCAAATTTAGCAAACAGAAAATTTCATAAACACAATAAATTAAATCAAAAGTTTTATTTCTCAGCTGGTTTCTAGTTCTGACTTATTTTGTAAACAATTATGACTAGAGCAGTGGCGTTGTAAAGGGTGTTTTCAGAGGGTCAAGTCCTGAGCAAATATATCATAGAATGTATAAAATAAATGCTTATAATGTTTCTTTAAAATTTGTTTATTTCGAGCCCCTCGATTATTATTTGCTGCTCCAGTCGACCTTGACTCGTGTCTCGCCAATGGACGATAACTTTTCACCTGATGGTTTTCTGCATATATTTCTCGATTCACTTGATTTGTAAATCATTTAAATTGGCTTTGATTGTTGCTACTTCCGCCAAAAAGTCTTGTGCGAAACTGTTTGACTTTGAAATGGTTTTAGAAATAAAACAAATTGCGGTGTGCCTCTCCATCTCTTTCTGTCTGTTTTTGATTTGTTTGTTTGATATGTTTTAAATTTGGCGGCAAGGTCGCCAGCTTGTCTGTGCAAAAGTGAAATGCAAATATATTGTATTTGTCGGTCCACTATGCGTTATCTCAAATCTCCTTTTGGGCATTGTGTTAGGGAAAGGTGTTTACGGCGCAGCAAGATTTATTATATCAACAAAACATAATCAGAGGTCTTAGCACCTTCTCCCTCACCTGGCACAACTCGCACCTTCATAAAGTGACTAGTTAATAGCGCCCGATACTAAAGTGCGGCGGCGGCCGGCTCTTACTTTGTGGTTCTGGATATAAAGCCACAAACAAAAGCGTTTTATTGCCAGCCGACCGCAGACTCGACCAGAGACAGTAGCAAATGATTACAAACGCCATAGCCGCAAAAAAAATCCAATCGGGAAAGTTATTAGTGTATCAGTCTCAGGAAATACCTTAGAAAATAGTTTAAAACCCCGTTATTTATTTTAATAATGTTTAAGTCTTAAAAATTTGATTGACTTAGTCTAGTTCATTTTAAAAATTATTTGAAAAGAAATCCTTATTTTATTTTGAAATATTTATTGCATAGATTCAAAATAAAATATATTTTGTATTGTTATAAATTTTTTATTTTTATTATTAAGGAAAGTATATTTATTAAAAAAGATTTATATCCCATTGCAATAAAAATTTAATTTCCTATATTGTTCAGAAAATCTATTCCTATTTTTACAAAATATTGCCAAAGCCGATACACCCCTTTCATTTAGGGTATCAAAAATAATTCATCGTTCCGAACAACTGACACAATGAGTGGGTACGACAAGTGCATGGGAATTTTATGGGGATGGGGATCATAAAGAGCAGAAAGCTGGAAGTTAAGGGTTGGGTTGCGGATGGGGGGATGGTTATAACATGTTATGGAGCTCCATGAGTTATTGATATTTTGCATCTCAGCCTACGACAAGTGGCAAATGTGACAAGGAATTTCTGAGGCTAAAGAGATTTCTTTCAATTTGTGGGTGCTCTCTAACGCGGATGGCTGTTCGTCCTCATAAATTCCATTGATATTTATGAGCAAACCCAATTTTTATTGGAATTGAAGAGGAAAGAAAATAAGCAGATAAAGGCCAGCCATATTTGATAATAATTATGCGCAGCGGTTGTTTGCTGTTTGATGTTGAGTATTACATATTTTCATAGAAAAACTGTATAAATATATTTTGATGGTATAAAAGAGAGTAATCTTTTTAGTACATGTTTTATTTCATATTACATTTTTCTTAAAGCCAAGACCAATACAATTTTTTTTATGAATAAAATAACATAAAAAGTCCCCTTAACTTTATTGTTTGAGCACCCCGTTCTTTTTTAATTTCTTGGGTTGCTCATTATTTTTCGATTAAAGTTTTACCTTTTTCAACTCCCTTTCAACTTTACTACCATCTCATATATCAAACAGCTTAAAACTGTTTAAGTTTTGTCCTTCACCCCTTTTGCCTTTAATCCTTTCGCCCATTTTCCTTCACCATAACTTAAACCTTTTCTCCTGAAGGAAAAAACTAGGACTATGTTTACTTAAATGATGCTTAGACGACAAACAAAAACGCGTGAGCCTAACTAAAATAACATTTATGACGCTTGACTTTTATTGATGCGGATGATTTAGCAATGTCTGCGTCTTCTCTAACAAAAGAGAAAATGAAATTTCTTTTCATAGATTTATTTATATATATTTAAGACCCACTCAAGGTGAATACTTATGTGGAGGAAGTTGACCGCCAACTCCAACGACTTTAGCGCATTTTCAATTTCATGGCCGCATAGCAAAACAAACAGAGTGAGAAAGAGAAAAACCAATGGCAACATTCCCTGTTATTGCACAGTGAAAGAAAAGTTTACTAGAGACAATAAAAATCAACATGACACAGTAACTTATTGATCAATAACTTACCGTAGACAATAAAAATCAACATGACACAGTAACTTATTGATCAATAACTTACCGTAGTTCAGATGGAGTGCAATTAATTTTTCTTTATTTAATAAATATTTAAATGTATAATTATATTATAAATTACCTGACTTACAAAAAGTTCTTCTTTTAAGCTGTTTTTTTTAGAATTGTTAATTTTGTGACATAGCTTATATTTTTTCTTTATGTGCATGTGTTGTTAATGTTAACTTACTGTTCGATACCAAAACAAGAAAGGAAAGCTAACTTCGGGCGGAGCCGAAGTTGATATACCCTTGCAGAATACTCTGTAAATTATATTCTCCAAAATTATTCATATGATGCATTCTAAATACTCATATAAAATCCCAACTTCCTAACTTTAAAAACACCAAAGTTATGGCATTTCCAATCGTTCAGTTATATGGCAGCTATAAGATATAGTCGGCCGATCCTTATGAAGTTTGGTAGGTCGGATTGATTGGCCAAAAATAAAACCCATAGAAAATCCCAACTTCCTAACTTTACAAACACCAAAGTTATGTCATTTCCGATCAATCAGTTATATGGCAGCTATAGGATATAGTCGGCCGATCCTTATAAAATTTGGTACGTCAAATTGATTGGCCAAATGTAAAACCCATAGAAAATCCCAACTTTCTAACTTTACAAACACCAAAGTTGCGGCATTTCCGATCGTTCAGTTATATGGCAGCTATAGGATATAGTCGGCCGATCCTTATAAAATTTGGTACGTAAAATTTATTGGCCAAATGTAAAACCCATAGAAAATCCCAACTTCCTAACTTTAAAAACACCAAAGTTATGGCATTTCCGATCGTTCAGTTATATGGCAGCTATAGG